GGGACTGGGGGGGGGCGTGGCAAGGGGCGTGGCCGGGTGGGCGGGGCTTCTGCTGCATCTGGGCCAAGGGAAGGAAGGATGGAGCAGGGGCTGGGGCTGAACCCCGCGGACAGGGGTGGGGGGGCACAACTGGGACTGGGTTCCAGCTCAGGGCCTGGCTCCCACTGCCTCTCCCCAGAGCGGCTTCATGGCAGGGTCACTCGAGTCATCCAGGCGGACTTCACCGGTGGCTTGGAGATCTACGCGGCCATTAGGACAGGACTGAGGGACCTGGAGATTGGAGTCCTGGGTACGTCCAGCCCGCTCGGAGGAGCCGCGCCCTCCAGGGCCCCCATGCTCACCCTGACCCTTAACCCTCTGGGGTCGCCCTCCCTCTGCCCCGAACCGGTCTCTCTGGGGCTGTTGGAGCGACACAAACAGCTTGTCTCCTCCCGCTCAGTGAACAACGTGGGCATGTTATATGAAAACACCCTGGTGAGGCTGCTGGACCGTGAGAACGTCGCCAAAGTGAGTGAACCGAGTCCGCGCCCGCTCTGCGCTCCTGCGCCCGCTACTGCCCCCTGTTGGAAACCCACGCGGCCTGTGGGTTGCGGAAGGAGGCACCCTGTGTATTTATATGCCTTCTGTTGGAAAGTTGTTTTCAAAGCTGCGCGTCTCCGATGTCCAGGACGCGATGGGGGCGCCCTCTGCATCGCCCAACCAGGACTAGTGCTCAGGTTCTCTGCTTCTGCCCTTTCCGATCCCCGATCCCCGGGTGCCAACGTTAGCGGGGAATGGCCCACCTGGGAAACCAGTGCCTGCCGCTCAGAGTCTGTGGTTTTCTACATTGTCCCTTGGGATCGTTCTTGAATCCCACGGCTTCTTTTTTCTTTCTTCCCGTTTTTATTTTAAATACAGTGGGGCCTTGACTTACGAGTGTCCCGACTAACGAGTTTTTCGAGATAAGAGCTGTCTCTCGGTCGATTTTTTTGCTGAGTTGCGAGCTAAAATTCGGGTTATGAGCCAGCTTCAGATACCCCACCGCTAGTTGGCGCAGCGAACGTCACAGTGAACGCCACAACATCAGCCCAGCATCACGTGTCTCACTCGTTCACTTTTTGATTTGACATACGAGTAATTTGAGTTACGAGCTCCGTCACGGAATGAATTAAACTCGTAAGTCAAGGCCCCACTGTACATTTTTATGGATTTCAGAGGGGAAGGGAGAGGGGGAGAGAAATAGAAACATCGAAGATGAGAGAGAATCATTGATTGGCTGCCTCCTGCAGGCCCCTTACTGGGGATGGAGCCAGCCACCCAGGCATGTGCCCTGGCTGGGAATTGAACTGTGATCTCCTGGTTCATAGGTGGATGCTCGACCACAGGTGGACGCTCAACCACTGAGCCACACCAGCCAGGCAATAGGGATGGCTTTTAAATGTTAAATATTATTATTTCAAAGAAACGCACATGCTCATTTTATCAAATTTAAAGAGGCCAGTTGTGTATTCTGCCTCTGGTATTAGAGGCGGTCATTGTTTGAGACTAACTCTGCAAATGAGAATGAAAAGAATATTTTAAAAAATAACTGTTTAAGGCCCTAGCCGGTTTTCTCTGTGGTTAGAGCATCGGCCTGCAGACTAAGGGGTTGTGGGTTCGATTCTGGGTCAAAGGCAGGTGCCTGGATTGCAGGATCCCTGCCCCTGGTCCAGGTGCGTGAGGGAGGCAACCAGTCAATGTGTCTCTCTCACATTGATGTCTCTCTCTCTCTCTCTCTCTCTCTCTCCCACCCCTCTCTCTCCCTCCCTCCCACTCTCTCTAAAAATCAATGGGAAAAATATCCTTGGGTGAGGATTAACAAAAAATATAAAAATAATAAAAAATAACTGAGGGCATTATTCCTAAAGCAAAGAGGAATTGTAGCACCACGATTTGGGGGAAAAGAGAATCCAAAGATATAAATCTGACATTTAGAGCAATATTTCCCTTCAAGCGGCTAAGAGACATCAATTTGTGATTCCAATTAACCCGTTCAATTCAAACCCATGTTGTTCAAGGGTCAACTATAGTCCAGAACCTCAGATCAACAATACAATTATTTATATTAAACATACAGCTTCAGTGAAATATAAGAGGAATATTAGAAGAAAAATCATGACCATAAACCAAAGAAATGATAAGGCAAACAGATGCACGTGTGACCAAGATTGAACCTGCAATCCAGATATGTGCCCTTGACTGGGAATCAATCCGGAATCCCTTTGGTCCGAGGGCCAACACTCAAGCCACCGAGCATAACTGTCCAGGGCTATATATCTATTAAAAATGCGAACACCCAGTGGAAATGGGAGCCATATTGACAGGCATTCTACAACAGAGGAAATCCGAATGGCCAATAAATATATGAGAACTTATCCAACCTCATTCTTATTAGAGAATCGCAAATTCAAACCAGAATGAGGTACAACTGCACAGCCACTAAAATGGTTAACACTAAAAGTGTTGGCAATACCAAGTGTTGTCAGGATGTGGCACAACTAGAATTCTTTTTTTTAAATATATATTTTATTGATTTTTTACAGAGAGGAAGGGAGAGAGACAGAGAGCTAGAAACATCGACGAGAGAGAAACATCGATCAGCTGCCTCCTGCACATCTCCCACTGGGGATGTGTCTGCAACCCAGGTACATGCCCCTGACCGGAATCGAACCTGGGACCTTTCAGTCCGCAGGCCAACGCTCTATCCACTGAGCCAAACCGGTTTTGGCAGGATGTGGCACAACTAGAATTCTTAAACTCTGCTAGTGGGCATATCAATTTGGACAATTTTGGGGAAGCTGTTGGGCAGTACCTCTTAAGGTTGGGAATATGCATGCTCTCTCATCCCCCCACGTCACTCCTGGTTGTATGAGCCCACATGTGCTCCAAAGACACATTCAGCAGTGTTTCTAGATAAATTATTGGTGACAGCCCCAAACAGATAGTGTTGCAAACAATATCTTTCTATTGAATTCATTCCCCACATGTGTGAGTACCTTGGAAAGGAATGAATGTCCAGACGTGGAGTTGGTGAGTCAAAGGATACGCACATTGTAAATTCTAAAAAAAAAAGTGTCCATCTTAAAAGAAAAGTAAGCTAGGAAATAAGAAAAGGTGGGGGTCGAGGCAGGGTTGGTGGAGGGACGACTATGGTTCTGTTTCTTCCCCAGAGACTCTCTGACGTCATCAACTGCAACATCATGTCTGTGGCCCAGGTAAGCCTGGGCGAGGAGTTCAGTCCACGGTCAGCATAGCTCTGCCCGCTCGGGGTGGTCCCCCCTACTGCCCGCCCATGGAGAAGGCGCTAGGGGAATACTCCCCAGGAGAAGGTGGGGGGATGGGCGTGAACTTGAGGGGGAGGGGGCAGGAGAAAGGACTGGAAAACGGGGCCCTTCCCACTCTTCTCTGCAGATGACGGCAATTGTCCTGCCCCAGATGGTCTCCAGGTAAGAGGCAGGCCTTTCCTCTTCCCCTCTGGCGCCTCCTCCATCCCACCTCCGGGCTTCCCCCCTTCCCCTGCTGACCCAGCCGCGTTTCCAGCTCGCCCCTGTCCCTCTGACATTTCTCGGATTAGGACATGGCTCAGGGGTGGAGGTGGGGGAATCACCTTTCCACGAATGCTTCCTCCTCCAGGCGCAAAGGAATCATCGTTAACATCTCCTCATTCACTGACAAGAAGCCCTGTCCACTTTTATCAGCCTACGCCGCTTCCAAGGTACCCAGGCCCCACCGACCGCGGAGGGCTGCCCTGCCATAGCCCTGAATGCGTGTGTGCGCGCGTGTGAGAGACACCTGGGCACAGCCCAGCAGGGATTGTTTGTTTGTTTGTTTGTTTTTAAGAGAAACGGAGGCTCGGGGAAGAGAGAACAGGAGCTGGGAGTGAGATCGGGGCTGGCGGGTGGAGTAGAGGGTGGGTGTAGGGGAATACCGGGAGGGCGTGGAACGCCGAAGCGTTCGGGGGTTAAGGTGAGGACTTGGGGCGGGAGATTGGGGGCTTTCTGGTCGGTGCTGGGGCAAGGCTGGGCTGGAGGCCTCTGCACAGCGAGGCTCACGAGCCTGGGGTCCTCCCGCTCCTTCCTCCACAGGCCTTTGTGCGAAACTTCTCGCAGGCAGTGGGCGCGGAGTACTGCTCCCAAGGAGTCATCGTGCAGGTGCCTGACTCCTAAGGGACTGACCGTGACCGAGTGGCAGCTCCGGAGGCGAGGGGCTCTGGCGGGGGGAGGAGCTCAGCGACAGTGGAGCAGCCTCCCCAGCGGAGAGTGTTTGCAGGGGGCGTGGCCTCTGCGGGGCG